CTTTTCTTTGTCACAGGGGCATCAGCTTTGGGACCCGCTCAGAGGTCTTGCTGCCCTGTTTCCCTAGTTTCCAGCCCTCCACGCATGCACTATGTCTGCGCTCTGGTGCAGATGGCTAGGGCTGGGTGTTTAGCAGTCCTGGGCTCCCTCTCCCTCCCTGCTCCGACTCCTCTCCTCCCGCCAGGAGCTGGGGTGAGGGGCACTTGGGTTCTGCCGGGCTGGGGCTTGTATCTTACCCCTTTCACCAGGCACTGGGCTCTCGCATGTGTGGATGTAGTCTGGCTGTTGTCCTGTGTCTTCTGGTCTCTCTTTTATGATTAGTTGTATTTGTTGTATTTTCAAAAATATATATGTTTTTGGGAGGAGATTCCCACTGTCCTACTCACACCGCCATCTTGGCTCCACCTTTTCTGGATGCCTTTTATTTCTTTTTCTTGTCTGATTGCTGTGGTGAGGATTTCCAGTACTATGTTGAGTAAGAATGGTGAGAATGGGCAACCTTGTCTTGTTCGTGATCTTAGAGGAAAAACTTTCAGCTTTCCCCCATTGAGTGAATATTAGCTGTGGGTTTGTCATCTATTGCTTTTATTATATTGAAATATGTGCCTTGTATACCCACTTTGTTGAGGTTTTTTGTTTTGTTTTGTTTTGTTTTACCATGAATGGATGTTGAACTTTGTCAGATGAACTTTTTCATCGTCTGCGGAGAAGATCACATGGCTTTTTATCCTTCTTTTTGTTGATGTGTTGCATTGATTGATTTGTGGCTATTGAACCATCCTTGTATTCCAGGAGTAAGTCACACTTGGTTGTGGTGGGTGATCCTTTTAATTTATTTTTAATTCAATTTGTTAATATTTTGTTGAGGATTTTTAAATCTATGTTAATCAGAGGTGGTCTGTAATTTTCTTTATTTGTAATGTCCATCTGGCTTTGGTATCATGGTTTGATGCTAACCTCATTGAATGAATTTTGGAAGCTTACCTTCCTCTCTCATTTTTTGGAATTGTTTGAGAAGTATAAGTATTACTCTTCTCAAATGTTTGGTAGAATTCTGTGAAGCCATCTGCTCCTGGATTTTTGCTTTTTGGGAATTTTTTGAGTTCAGCTTCATTACTAGTAATGACTGTTCAGATTGTTATTTCTTCCTGGTCTTGATTGTATGTTTCCAGAAATTTATTCATTTCTTCTAAGTTACCCAATTTGTTGGAATATAATTTTTGTTGCAGTCTCTTAAAATGGTTTGTACTTACATGGTGTGGGTTGTAATGTCTCCTATTTGTGATTTTGAGTCCTTTTTTTTTATTTTTGGTGAGTCTAACTTAAAGATTTATTGATACTGTTTATCTTTTCAGAGAATCAGCTCTTAGTTTCATTAATATTTGTTTGTTTTTTCAGTTTCTTATTTCACATATTTATGCTCTGAATTTTATTATTTCCTTTTGTCTTCTACCTTTGGGCTTTTTTCTTCTTTTCCTAGTTCCTTTAGGTGTAGGGTTAGGTTGAGATTTGTCTTGTTTCTTGAAATATGCCTGTAATGGTGTAAACTTACCTTTTACAACTGTTTCTCTGCATCCCAGTGATTTTGAATTACTGTGTTTCTGTTTTCTTTATTGTCCAAATATTTTTTATTTCCTCTTTGACCCATTGGTTGTTCAGTAGCTTACTGTTTAACTTCCACATATTTGTGTTTTTTTCCCAGTTGTTTTCTTGTAATTAATTTCCAGTTTTATATCATTGTTGCCAGAAAAGATGCTTGATATGAGTTCATTAACACTTAAGTTCATTAACACTTGTTTTTTGGGTTAACATGTGATATAACCTGGAGAATGTTTTGTGTGCACTTGAAAAGAATGAGTATTACGCTATTTTTGGATGTAATGTTCTTCATATATCTATTAGGTCTATTTGGTCTAATGCTTTTTTATAACCTTATTTAGTGATACCTTTACTTTTTAGAAGTAGTTGATTTTACTATTTTTGTCTTCATATTAGCTTTTCAGTGATTGGTCTACCACTTTTACTATGTGTTTGCTTTTACCAGTGAAATCTTTTCTTTTCATATTCTAGTTATGGCTTTTCTAGTCCTATTAAAGAAATCCCTTTAATGTTTCTTGCAAAGCTGGTTTAGTGGTGGTAAACTCATTTGACTAGTGTTTATCTGGGAAGCTCTTTTTTCTCTCCTCCAATTCTGAATAATAATCTTGCTGGGCAGAGTATTCTTGGTTGTAGATTTTTTTTTTCCCTGTCAGCACTTTGAATGTATCGTGCTATTGCCTTCTGGCCTATAGAAGTTCTCCTGAAAAACCACTGTATAGCCTTATCGTGTTTCCCTCTTCTATACTTCATTGCTTTTCTCTCACTGCTTTTAAGATTCTTTCTTTGTTTTTGAACTTTGACATTTTAATTATTATGTGTCTTGGTGTGGCCCTCCTTGGGGCATCACAGTGCTGATGCTCCCAGCGCTAGGGCTGGGCATCTCTCAGGCTGGCAGGGGCTGAGCGACCTGCTCTCAGGCTAGCTAGGGATTCAAGGGGTGTGGTAGTGTGAATTTGTGTGTCACACTACTATCACTCTGTTGAGACAGCTGAATCTCTGGTGGGTGTGTTTTTTCTTGTAGATGGGGGCCAGGAGGCTGCTTGTGTCAAGCCTGGAGCTGGTGTGTGCACCCTGACCCTGCTCCCATCTGCATTATCAGGGTGTAGGGGAATGTAAACAGTGGCGCTCACCAGCTTCCCCAGCCCCTGAGAGTTTAGTAGCTCTCTCACTGTCTGGTGGGTTAGCTTTAGTTCTGAAAACTGGCTTCCTTTACTTAGAGCTGCCCTTTATACCATTTAAACCATGGCTTTTTTTTCTGTGCTTCAGGGCAGGTGAATGTATTCTCAGGTCTCTCAGTGAGATCCCTCTGCATGGCAGTGCTGAGCTGGGTTTGGGGCTCCCTCCATTACTGTGTATTTGTCTGTCTTGCTGTGTTTTATGTGGTTTTCTTACTCTCATTGTGCCTAAGGAGTTCACTCAGGCCTCAGTTCTTCCTCAGCGTGAATTGCTATGTGTCTGTGTTGATTTGGTGTGTGTGTGGGGGGAACCAGGTGGGCTCAGGCTCTTTCTGTACTGTTGTCTTAGGTCCACTGCTGTTTCTTAGTCATCCAGTAAGTATCACTATGGACTTAGATTTTTTTTTTAATTCAAATATGGTATTAGTTATTATCATCATTATACTTGTTCCAAATTTGGCTAATTGGAGCCCCATTGAGCTAGCTATGCTACCATGTCATTTTGACATGGCCTCAGTAGTTTTTGAGAACATTTTTTGTTTTCTAGCACAAGATGTTCTGAACTCACCCTATACTTTCCTTGCACCAGACCAGGAATCAGCCTTTCTTTCTCCAAGAATTCCTGGTTCTCATAGGAGGAACTGGTACTAGGTGTGTTCATTGACGGTGGTGTTTCCTTGCTTCTAGGTCCAGAGCTTCTTTAAAAGGGCCTTTGCGGGTGAAGTTCACAGTTAGATCCAGTCCAGCAAATCATTTATTTACATTGTTACAAGCAACCGAGAGGATAACGAGATGAAAAAATTTCATTCCTTTTCATTTACAAGTTTACAATTGAGAATGGAAGACAATCTAAGTCATGGCTCTATACAAAGCAAATTATAACAAGTATTATTGCAGTAATACAGAGACTAGGAAAGTATTCTCATTTGGCTTTTCTTTTCTTAGTTGAAGAATATTTCTCACAACAGCCACATGAATGTCAGTTCCTTGATACTAGGGGTCTGTATCTATTTCAACTCAAATTTCTATGCCTTAGTTTTCTAAGGGCTATTTCTCTGGGTTGGTGTTTGGTTTAAATGAGACAAAAAGTGTGAAACAGCACAGTGCCTAGTGTTTTTTTAGGTACTTAAAGCATGGTGGAAGTAGTGATCTCCATGGGTTTTCTACCTCACATCCATTCCTCACTTCCTCCCCAGCAGAGTTCTATTTTGTTCAGCACAGTAGCTATAATAATAATAATAATAATAATTTTAAAATTATTGTTTCTAGAGCTTAGTGAGCCTGTGCCAGCTGATGTGGGAGCAAATGCAGCCTTCTCTAAATCTGTTCTGCCTATGAAGCCAGTGGAGATAGAGATTGAAACGCCAGAGCAGGTGAAAGCACGAAAAAGAAGGTAAGACCAGACACTTGCTTCTGTGCTCCTGTCACATATAATCAGAAATAGCTGCTACTTAGTGAAAACTTTTGAGAAACACAGGGAGTCCAGGGCTGGGTATCAAAGTGGTTAGGAACCTTAGGTGAGAGGGCTCTGGGTTCACCTTTTGGACTTGAATGAGGGAAAACTTTGTGTCCTGGCTGGGAGAAGAAACTCCTATTTATTGAACCCCTGTTGGATGTCAGGGACTCAGCAGGTTGTGCAAATGTTACCTCATCTTGAGGACAGTGTGTGAATGAGGAGCTGGAGGCTCAGTGAGGTTATATACCTTTTCAGGAGTCACTCATCCAGTAAGTGGATGAGCCAAGATCTGAATCCCTGTTGCACATACTCAGCACCCATGCTTTTCCCACCATATCCTGCTGCTGTGCTTGAGGCCCTGCCCCACTGTGGTAGGGAGCCCCAGTCCATCCCAGTATCTCCAGTACCTCTGCAGCCTCTGGTGGCTTGGGAATACAGAGCATAGTGCCTGGTAGTTTCATTGGTTTAATGAGTTCTGCTGTGTGATGGCCATACTTTGAGGTATGAAGGAGAGAGAGAGCATAAGTCATGCAAGAAGTGTCATGTTTTCTTAAACATGCATGGGACCCAGACGTGAAAGAGGTTTTACCAGAACAGCATCATACAAATGTGTGCCCTCTCGTAACAAAGGTAGCTGTTGCCAAGGAGGGAGTCAGTGGTCGGAAGGTCAGTCAGAGAAGACTTCCCGGAGGCTGTGTCCTTTGAAGAATGTTTGTGAGGCATGGTTTGGTGCAGGTTGAGAGGAGGGGAGTCTGGGTGGTGAATGTCCTGAGCCAAGGTATGCTGGTGAGAAGGATCCACAAAGTGTTCAGAAAATAGCTTGCTTGTAGAGTTGCCAGAGTTAGCACAGGCTTGTGTGGGAGAACAAGGAGGGTGACTCCTGAGTCATCACAAGTAAAAGGAAGTGACTGGGCAATGGGATCAGGTTTCTGTTTACCACTTCATTCTCAAATGTTTGATATACCTTGCAGTGAAAAGATAAAAATGGAGTTTGAAACACATCTTCGGAGGATGATGAAACGTTTCAATAAAGAAGTCCATGAGGATACACACAAGGTGCGCACAGGGGACGGAGGGCAGGATGGTGTCCCTCTGTGTCAAGGCAGAAAGAACATGAGTTCTCAGTCATCCAGACCTCAGTCTTGTTTCTGGCTCTTGAACTCACTCTGTGACCTGGGCATGTTTCTTATTCTCTCTGAGCCTTAGTCTCCTCATCTTTGAAGTGGTGGAGGGTATGATCGGGTCTGCTTTGGAGGGCAAAATGTGAGGATGAGCAAATATTACAGTTCAACATGGAGCATAGTGCCTGGCTACTAACAGGTCCTCTCCTTCCAGTTTGTTTCAGCTATTTAATACCATTAGTCTTGATCTCAGCTAGTTACTGTGGCTTTTGACTTCAGCTGGTAGTCGTTGAACACATAGACCTGGCCAGGTGCTTGGCATTGTGGGAAAGACTTGTACAAAGCTTATTTTCTGCCATTAAGGAGTTTCTGATATTGCCAGCAGAACAAGAAAGACCCCAAAACAGAGAAACTCAAGACTAAGAATAGAGAAGAGATCAGTGTGGGTCTGAGTATCCTTGGAAAGCTTTATTTAGGAGAAAGGACTGGGGCTGTGTCTTGGATAAAGGACAGCATAGAGAGATGGCTGGGGAGACCGCCCTTGCCGAGTCATGGAGGGGCTGGCAGGACAACCAGTGTGCCTGCCTCTTGGGGATGTGGTGTTGGAGACCCATGGTGACCCAGTCAGGGGAGGGAGGACTGATTTTCCTCTGATCAGCAGTGGGTGGCCAGACAGGGTAGCGATGGGATGGACAGAAGGAAGAGACTGTCTGCAGCAGCCCCAGAAATCTAGAGGCAGGAGGAGCCCACAGCCAGGACAGTGGGGAGAAGAGGGCTGGTGTCATGCCCACTTCACAGAGGCCTTGGGTAGTGACTGAGATAGCTGTGTCTTTTCCTTCTTGGTGTTGGTGATGAAAGAGGGAAGAATGAATAAGAGTCCAAGATTTGGAACTTAAGTCGGGGAGAAGGGCAGTGCCATTAACTGAAATAGGGAGGGTCTAAGTGGGAAGGAGGGAAGACCGGTTTTGAAGGGGAAATGATGCAGAGCTGGGTATGAGAGAGAGCAGGGGAGACAGGAAGAGTGGGGTCTGCAGTGGGGGTCAGGCCCACATGGAGTGCAGGGAGCCCAGCTGTCCCCCACCTGGGGCGGTTACCAGTCTTGAGCTGGCTTGCCGTTTCCTGCCCCCACTCGCTTTTCTCCCTGATCATTGTGGGGCAAATCCCAGGCATTTTTAGCATTTCACTCCAGAATCCTTCAGTATCTATCTCTGAAAGACAAGTCCTCTTAAAAAAATATATATATATATTTTGGAGTGTTGAGATTTGATGATTTCTTTGAGGGAATGTGTATCTGGAGAGAAGAGGTGGGTGACTGTCTTGGGAAATGGCTAATGTTAATATTTTTGCATTCTTATGTGCAGAAATGACAACAGATTTGCCCACAAAGGTCTTGTAATTTGGCAGTAAAAATCCCTCTAGTTTTCAGCTCCCTTTTTCCCCCTTCCTCCCAGGTTCACCTTCTGTGCCTGTTAGCAAATGGCTTCTATCGAAGTAGCATCTGCAGCCAGCCAGATCTGCTTGCCATTGGCCTGTCCATCATCCCAGCTCGCTTTACTGGAGTGCCACCTGAGGCCATGGATATCGGCTACCTGTCAAACCTGGTGAAATGGTATGGCCCTCTGCCCGCTCTGACTAGCGTAGGGTCTGTTCCCTCAGGCTGGCTGCAGGTCAGGTCCACAGACATTCCCTGCGGTGACCCTCTGCCAGGCTGTGGGCATGACCTTGAAGATAGAGAAGCGTCAGGCATGATCTTTGTCCTGGAAGCGCTCCCAGCTGGTCGGGGAGACAGAGACACCCTTGCTAACTAGAGTCATGTGCTGGGTGCTCTGGAACAGGCACATGGAGCAGGGGCACTTCTCTCAGCCAGTGGGGGTGGGTCTGGGAAGCTTCCCCGGAGGTGCTGTTGATGGGCTTCAGTGTGGAGTAGGAGTTAGCCAGCCAGGGCAGGAAGAGCAGAAGAGAGGCAGGCAAGGCGCACGATTCCCTTCCAAGACTCTCCCTTTCGGTTTTCTTGGCTATGAAAGAACAGAGTTCCTCTTTGTCCTGACCTCTGACAAAAGGGAATGCCTGGTTTCTCTCCAGGTTCATTGGAACATTTACGGTTAATGCAGATCTTTCAATCAATGAGCAGGATGGCCTACTGACTACGCTGGAGAGGAGATTTGCTATTTACTCTGCGCGAGATGATGAAGAACTGGTCCACGTAAGTGGTTCTTCTGGCAGTGCTGTTACTAGTACTGTCAGGTAATGACAGTCAGTGGCAGCCATGTGCCACATGCCATTCCAGGCATTTTACATATATTTTATAAAATAAAAAGTAGGTACTGAAGCCCAGAGAGACTAACCAGCTTTCTTAGGGCCATTCAGTCAGTAAACCTTGGTACCTGTGTGTGAGCTGAAAGCCTGCTCTCTTTCCTGTCTGTCCCATGCTGACCTGATGTGTTAATGCACTTAAAACTTTGGTCAGGTGCCCTGGAATTATTTCCATCAGCTATTCAGAAGTGGTTTTCACAAGTCCCAAGGAAGTGGTTTTTCAGATTGGCCGCCAGAATCCTTGAGAAAATGTTTCAGTACCTTCCAGCTTGGATGGTGCTGCTGGCAGGCGGCTATACAGGGAGGAGCGATCCATCCACCAAAAGGAGTCATCGTGAAGAGGACTCTGTGTAGATAGGCTTTATCAAACACATGAGCATACACCATTAGGAAAGGCTCTGAATGAAACAAAAAGAGGTAGAAATATGATTTATCCCTAGAAGATTCCTATTAATGCGTACACTTGTATCTGAGCCCCAGATTCCCTGTTTGTTTAGGGAAGGAAACCAGACTTTTCATATCTTGTACAGGCCAAATGGCTGGCAACTTTACCTCTTGTGATTTGGCTTGAAAAAAGTCTTAAGATATAAGGCATGGCCAGTAATTACACCATAATACCACCACCCAGAGAAAAACATTATTTGTGTATTGTTCTCCTAGACTTTGCTACTGTTTATTTGTGTACATACATATTTGTTTTGGGGGTTCTTTATTTTAAAGCAAAAAAAAAAGTTTTGAAAGTGAACAATTCAGTGTTGTGTTGTGCAACCACCACCTCTATTCCCATAATATTTTGCCACCCCAAAAGGAAACCCTGTGCCCATTAAACAGTTATTCCCATTCTGCCATCTCCTTCCACCCCCTCAAGCACCTGGCAGTCACCAGTCTGTGTTCTGTCTCTGGATTTACATATTCTGGTTATTTCATATAAAAGAAATCATACGATATACAACCTTTTGTGTCTGCCTTCTTTCACTTAGCACAGTATTTTCAAGATTTAGCTGTTTGTAGCAAATACCAGTACTTAATTCCTTTTTATGGCTAAGTAATATTCCATTGTATGGACAGAGCACATTTTGTCTATCCATTCATCAACTGATGTCTCCATCTTTTAGCTACTGTGAAGAGCACTGCTATACACTTGTGTATATGTATATTTATTTGATTATTTGTTTTCATTTCTTTTGGATGGAGTTGCTGGGTCATATGGTAGGTAATTCTATATTTAACTTTTTGAGGAATTGCCAAACTGTTTTCCACAGCAGCTGCACTATCTATCTATCTATTTATTTATTTATTCATTCATTCATTCATTATTTATTATTTATTTATTTATTTTATTTTGGTATCATTAATCTACAATTACGTGAAGAACATTATGTTTACTAGGCTCCCCCCTTCACCAAGTCCCCTCCACATACCCCCTCACAGTCACTCTCCATCTGCATAGTAAGATGCTATAAAATCACTACTTGTCTTCTCTGTGTCAGCTGCACTATTTTACATTCCCACCAGCAATATACAAGGGCTCCAATTTCTCTAAATCCTCACCAATACTATTTTCCATTTTTAAAATTATAGTCATCCTGATAGGTGTAAAGTGATGTCTCATTCTGGTTTTGATTTGCATTTCCCTGATGACTAGTGATGGTTAACATCTCGTGTGCATTGGCAATTTGTATAACTTTTTTGGAAAAATGTCTATTCAAGTTCTTTCATCCTTTTGACTGGGATCTTTGTTTTTCTTGTTGAGTTGTAAGAGTTCTTTGTATATTTTGGATACTAGAAACCTATCAGATACATGCTTTGCAAATATTTTCTCCCATTCTGTAGGATGTCTTTTGCTTTCTTGAAAAAGTCCTTTGATGCACAAAAGATTTAATTTTGACGAAGTCCAGTTTTTCTATTATTCTTTTGTTCCTCTTAATTTTGGTGTTGTATCTAAGAATCTATTGCCAAATTCAAGGTCATGGAGATTCTAACTGTATTTTCTTCTAAGAGTTTTATAGTTCTAGCTCTTATATTTAGGTCTTTTGTCCATTTTGAGTTAATGTTTGTATATGATGTGAGGTAGGTGTTCAGCTTCATTCTTTTTGCATGTGGCTGTCCAGTTGTCCCTGCACTGTTTGTTGAAGAAATTATTCTTTCAGGTATTTGTTGTTTTTGTTCTATCGTTTTCACTGTTGAAGAGACAAGTTTTTCAATGGAAATTGAATGGTCTTGGCACCCTTATCAAAAACTGGTCATAGATGTATGGGTTAATTTCTGGTCTCTCAAATCTATTTCATTGGTCTGTATGTCTGTCCTTATGCTGAAACCATGGTGTTTTGATTGTTCAGCTTTGTAGTAAGTTTTGAAACCAGGAAGTATGACCATCTCTGTTAATTTACAGTGCTATTTTGGCTATTCATGGCCCTTTGTAATTTCAGGTAAATTTGATGTTCTCCTTTTCCATTTCGGCAAAAAAGTCCTTAGAATTTTGATAGGGATTGCATTGAATCTATAGGTTGGTTTGGGTAGCAGTACTGTGTAAAAAATACTGTTGTCCAATCCATAAACATGGATATCCTTACTTTTATTTGTGTTTTAATGTCTTTCAGCTGTACTTTGTAGTTTTCAATGTACAGTTGACCCTTGAACAATGCAGGGTTTATGGGTGCTTGACTCCCTGCTGTCAAAAAAATCTATGTATAATTTTGACTCATTGAAGACATAACTATTAATAGCCTACTGTTGACCAATAACATAAAGTCAACTGACACATTTTATATATGTATTATATACTGTGTTCTTACAATAAAGTCAGCTACAGAAAAAAATTTTTTGAAATTGTCTCAGATCTCCAAAAATTTTCCAACATATTTATTGAAAAAAAATATGCATAGAAGTGGATTTGGGCAGTTCAAACCCATGTTCTTCAAGGGTCAACTGTACATGTCTTTCATCTCCTAGGTAAATTTTTGCCTAGGTATTTTATTCTTTTTGATGGTGTAGATGTTACTGTTTTCATAATTTCCTTTTCAGATTGTTTGTGGCAGGTGTATAGAAACACAGCTGATTCTGTGTTGCTCTTATATGCCCTGCAACTTTGCAGAATTCATTTATTAGCTCTAGTAGCTTTCTTGTGCATTCTTTGAGATTTTCTATAACATTTTGCTGTCTGTGAGTAGAGGCTTTACATCCACCAGCGTGGATGCCTTTTGTTTCTTTTTCTTGCCCAATTGCTCTGGCTAGAACTTCAGTACAGTGTAGAATAGCATTGGTAAAAGCAGCATCCTTGTCTTGTTCCAGTTTTGTGGGGGAAGCTTTTGCCACTAAGACATCTTTGTGGGTTTTTATAAATGTTCTTTATCATGTTGAAAAAGTTACCTTCCATTTCTAGTCTTCTGAATGCTTTTATCATGACAGTGTGTTGGATTCTCTCAAATATTTTTTCTGTGCTAATTGTGTTTTTTCTTCTGTTTATTCTATTAATACAGTCTATCATTTGCATTGATTGATTTTCTTAGATTCACCCACCCTTGCATTCCTGAAATAAATCCCACTTCATGATGTATAACTTTTACTGTGCTTTTGGGTTTGGTTTGCAGTATCTTGTTGAGGATTTTTGCATCTGTATTCATAAGGGATATTGGTCTGTAGTTTTCTTGTGACATCTGTCTGGCTTTCATATCAGGGTAATGCTGGCCTCATAGAACAAGTTAGGAAGTGTTCCCTCCTATTTCTAGGAAGAGTTTGAGCAGGAGTGTTGTAAATTCTTTAAGTGTCGGGTAGAATCCACCTGTGAAGCCATCTGGTATTGGACTTCCTTTCTTTGGGAGGTTTTTGATTTCATATTGAGTCTCTTTATAGATTTCTTTGGATTTTCTATTTTTTTCTTGAGTCATTTTAGTAATTTGTTTGTTTGTAGGCTTTGTCCCTTTCATCTAGGTTATCACATTTTCACTGCAGGAATCATAGTTTTGTAACTTGAATTTGTTTTTTTGAGCAACATACATCGACAGATTACTTGGCAAGGCAGTGACCATGTATATGTGTATAGCATTAGATCACTTCCAGAGTGCTGTCACATACATGATCTTGTTTGATCTTCCTTATCGTCCTGTGAGGAAGACAAGGCAGCAGTTGTTACAGATGAAGAGTTCTAGGTTTAGAGAAGTGACTCAGCTGGTTGGTGATAACTCAGTTGCCCAGGCTTTTTTAGATGTGTCTCCCATGCCATGCTATACACTGAGAAACTAAGAAATTAATATTGGCATAATATTAATTGTACCAGTTAATTAATAATATGTTGTCAGCTACACTGTAGCTATTATTTGGCTTTTACAAGTTTTTCCCCTAATGCTCTTTTTCTGTTGCAGGATCCAGCCCAGGGCACGACATTGCATTTAGTTGCTGTATTTCCTTAGTCCCTTCTAGTCTGTGACAGCGTCTCAGTCTTTCCATGTCTTTATTACCCTCACATTTTTGAAGAGTGCTGCTTCAAATTTTGTAGGAATTTTGTAGAGGGTCCCTCAGTTTCAGTTTCTTTGATGTTTTCTCATCCCCCCTGTTTTTATTCCAGCAGAAACAAGGCAACAAGGCAAAAGTAATTTTTTTTTTTTAATGTAACATGGCTTTTCATAGAAAATCTGCCTCCCTATACCTGATTTTCACCTCTGGCTTTCTTAGAAGGGTATTGAAGTCATGCATGAGAAACGCCAGGCCACTAAGGCCTGTGTAGGAAGGTCTTGCTCAGGTGCTTTATTACTGGTGCTGTTTGGAGTTAATTTCTCTGAGAGGCTCCCATCCTTGCAAGTTAACAGAATTTTTAAAACTGCAGCCTCCAGTTGGAAGATTCATTGTGGGAAAAGTGGAGCATGGAATAGACTTTGGGGATCTGATGATAATGTTTTCTATTTTTTCTTAAAGTGATATTTTGTTTATTCTGTTTTAATCACAAACACATTAAATGCAGAACAATCATAAGATAGATAACCTGGAAAAAAAATCGCCACCTGTACACACCCACACCCAATATATGGATCCTTTTCCAAATATATGTACATGTTTAAAAATTGTCATTAGACATGTGTATAAGATAAGATACAATCTTATCTTGTAAAATTAATATTACACATTAAAAAACAAACCTCCCTTTTGCTTTACTGTAGGGTAAACATTTTCCCATTTTTCTATAAAGGTAAATCTCTGAGCATCATTTTTAATAATGTTGACGGTTCCAGACTCCTATCATTAGACCATTTGGTGGTTTCTTTTTCCTGTTATAAGCAGGCACCATGACAGACAACATTGAATTAATTGAGTCCTTAATTCTCTTAGGATAAATATGTGTTCTTTTTCATTGTAGATATTTCTGCTGGTCCTCCGGGCCCTACAACTCCCAACCCGACTGGTATTGTCTCTACAGCCAATTCCTCTGAAGTTACCAGCAGCAAAGGTGAGGTTCTTGGGGCCTCAAGAGAGGAGGTTAGTTGCCCAAGGAGAATGAGAAATTATTAAACTTGAAACAACAAAAAATTGTCATTAGACTATTTTTAAGGGCCAGTATTCATGGAGCCTGGGTTCCTTTGAGCCTGTCTTGCACAGATCCTGTGTTGGGAAAACCAGTCACGTAAGTGGGTATCCAGCAAGCTGAGCTTTGTTTGCACAAAGGTACCTGTAAGAGGGCTTGGCTCCCTGGTGCTTCCACCTGTGTTCTGTAATGTGGCAGAGTGGCACCTGTCCTCCTGCTCAGCAGCATGGGGTGATGCCCGGTGAGGAGCTCTGAATTCTCCAGCCATCTCAGAAGGAGGCTAAACACTGCACTCATCGGGTGTTGGCACTGTCCAAAACATGATCATCCTGGAGCTAATTTTAATAATTTCTGTATTCTTAATATTACAACTTTATTAAGCCCATCAGTATTTGTTTGTAAAATGTGTGCAAGCTGGTGCATATTACTAGTGTGGAGGAAACTGAGACTCAGAGGTTATATAATTTACCTAAACCACATAACATGCATGAGAAGCAGCACTGGAATTTGAATCCATGTTTGTTTCCACATCCTGTGCTCTTTTTCATATACAACACTTTAGAGTGAAAAGAATTATACTGTGGCCTTACCTAAGGTGCTGTAGATTTTAGTGAATACTTTCTAAACAACCGTAAAGGATAGCCAGTCCATCGCTGCCTGAGCTGGGGGCATCTTGTGTCTGCTGGCTCTCTAGCCAGCGATGTAGCCCTGTTAGATTACAGAGTCTCTATCAGAGCATTAGCAAAAAATAAAGAGCAAAATCTCCTGTTATGTTTAAGGGAAAGAAACTATCCAAGGAGAGACCCGCAGTGGGCCCTGGAGGCCCCTCAGAAACTTCCAGCCCCATTCCAAGCAACCAGACCAAAGCAAAGACCAGCAGAGGAACCAGACAAGAGGACACTTCTCGGGGACCTGGGGATCCAAGTGCCAAAGGGAAGAGGAGCAAGGCAGCCAGAGTCAGGAAGAGACGGAGAGAGCCCTCCTCCAGTGGGAAAGAGGAGGAGCAGGAGGAGGAGGAGAGGGAGCCCCAGAGCCGTCGGAAGGGCCGGGAGCAGCGGGTGGCCGCCAGGCTGTCTTACAGAGAGGAGAGTGGGAGTGGCGAGGCCAGCAGTGGCTCCGACTTCGAGCCCTCCAGTGTGGAGGGCTGTCCATCGGACGAGGATTTTGAGCCTGCCCTTTCAAGGCAGAGGAGGGCCCTGGCCCCCCAGAGGACAAAGCAAGGGTCCAAGAATGACTCCAGGACCCCACTTGGTAGCCTCCCCGAGCATAAGCCCCCTGGCTTTCCAGCAGCATCTGCGAGTCCTTCAAGCAGTAAGAGGAAGAGAGGCAAGAAAATTTCCAGTGATGGCGAGCAGGCCGAGAATGGGAAAGCAGCTGGTGTAGACCAGTGGCTAGAGGTGTTCTGTGAGCAGGAGGAAAAGTGGGTGTGCGTGGACTGTGTGCATGGTGTGGTGGACCAGGCTTTCACCTGTTACAGATATGCCACCAGACCCGTGACCTATGTCGTGGGCATTGACAGTGACGGCTCGGTCCGGGATGTCACCCAGAGGTACGACCCAGTCTGGATGACGGTGACCCGCAAGTGCCGGGTTGATGCCAAGTGGTGGGCTGAGACCTTGAGGCCGTACCGGAGCGCGCTGGTGGAAAGGGAGGAGGAAGAAGACTTGGAGGTAAGGCCCTGGCTGCCCTGGGTTCCAAGACTCAGGCAGGGCATTAAGATCATTCCCATCCTGGCAGCTTCTGTATGACCAGCCTCGTGTTGGGTATTTTTAGTGTGTTATTTAATTATCACAACAACTCTAAAGCTGGAATTACTGTTGCCTTAATTTTACTGAAAGCTTAGGACCTGAGAGATGAACTGACTTGGTATTTGGACACAGGTGTTTCCAGCTTTGAAGCCTGTATACTTTTAGTTATTGCTTAGTTATAAATTTGGGGCTTTAAAATAATTTATGCAAGTCATATAAGTCATACTGAGTGAAGAAAAATCTCATTAATGGCTCACCCCCTGGCCCACCCCTCTCAGCATGCACACTCACACACACTCACACCTGTCCTTGGGTCCAGAACACTCGTCTCCTGGGAAGGAGGGGACTTGGGCTGAGGAGGAAGCCTCAGTGTGTTGAGGTAGTGTGCTGGGAAGCAGACTTGTAAAACAACAGGGTGTTACCTGTGCTGGGGCCACCACTGACCTGCAGGGTGCAAGCCACTGGTGCACGGCTGCCAGTTGTGTTGGGTGGGGCTCAGCATTTCCTGCAGGAACATGCCCAGGTTTGCTGGAGAATTATTCCCAGGTCCTCAGGAGGGAGAAACACAGGTTTTCTTAGCGTTCCCGGTGGCAGTGCAGTTCATCCTGCGGTGAGGGTTTCCCATGGGCGTGTTCTGGTTCATTTTACTCAGAAACACCGGGTTAACAGGAACCGTGACTCACCTAACTACAGTATTTGTGGTGGCAGTGGACCGTGCGGAGGTCCCTCCTACTGCCTGCTATTTCACATTGCTGGTACCTGCTGATCTCTTGTGGGTTTTTGAAGAGAGGCCAAGGGAGAGTTTAGAAGACTTGGGTGAATAAGATGTGGATTACAGCAGTGGGATTGCCCCGAGAAATCAGAATCCTTGTAGTGCTGAGGGATCACTCCCCAGTTACAGCGGACTGAGAAACATTGCAAAGCATGGACAGCTTGTTGGGTTTCCTGCATGAGCCTAGTCAGGTAAACCTCCACTGCAGACCAGTGTTGTCTCTGAGTGAGGCCTCCTTCCTGAAGAAAGCTGCGTGCCTTTCTTCTTTGAAGCTCTTTCATGGAGTGGACACTGATCTGCTGAAGTTGGCTAAGTGTCTGAGGGCTGAGAATAGGTGAGATGACTTTCCAAAGTCGCCATGACACACAGAATTACTTTGGTTCTTCATAGCTTTCGATTTATCTAAATCTTACTTAACACCAGAGGTGCAAATGCAGGATTAGTGATTGGTCCTTCTGAAACCTCTGCTCCACCATCTGTTACCTGGGACAAGTGGGTAAGGATCACCCACTCCAAAACTCACTTCCTGCCCTAAACAACCTGCTCAGTGTTGTTTCTCTGGCCTTTGCAGTTTCAGGCAAAACATCTAGACCAGCCCTTGCCCACGGTCATCGGTTTGTATAAGAACCACCCTCTGTATGCCCTGAAGAGGCATCTCCTGAAATATGAGGCCATCTACCCTGAGACCGCCACAGTCCTTGGCTTTTGTCGTGGAGAAGCCGTCTACTCCAGGTGCGTGAGGCTGCCTAGTGGCCTTGTGGGCTTCCTGCTGGTCTGGGATTGGGAGCCGCCTTCTGGGCAAGGGGCTGGCAATGTCAGCTCATCTCATTTATCAGACAGGTAAGACTTGTAGTGTGTACCTGTGCTGTTGTGTGGAGAGATGCGATGCGTAGGAGAGATTAAAGCTTGAAAATTAGAACAAGGATTGAAAGACCAGCAGGGGAAAAATAACAAGTAGGTCAAATCCTGTTTACCTGGTCAGTTGAAACACACCCCTAAAATGTAAGTCAAAAACTTACAAAAGGAAGGTATAAAGGATATGATTAATGAAAATTAGCATGAGTGGGTATTTTAATCGGTACAGAGCCTCTGAGAAGCTGAAGTTCTAGAGATGGGTGGTGGGGGTAGTTGCACAACAGTGTGAATGTACTTAATGCTACTGACCTGCCCTCTTAAAAAACGTTAAGGTGGTAATTTGTTACAGATATTTCATCCCCAGAAAAAAAATTGCCAAAGAAGAGGGGAAGGGAATAAGAGTAGAAAATGAATGTAAAATATATTCTAATGTATATATGTAAAATATATATACAACTGAAAAAATTTTAATATAAATTTAAGATGAAAGTTCTGCCTCTATTTTTATTTTTTCTTTAAGAACTAGCAACAAAAAGAAGGTAAGTCATTTTTTAAAACAATGCAAAGCAAGGCCAAAAACTTGAGCATGATCTGAATATGGGAAAAGAGAGGAAGAAAGGAGGCGAAGCGGAACTCACTCGAGGGGGTGGTTGCGTCCTCTGCCTGGGGCGGCTGCCTGTGTGTCGGCCCTGCATTTAGGGTCTGCACTCCAGCTTTCTGTTCCACGTCAGGAAGGGTCATGCTTGGTCGGGGCCTCACTCCTGACAGCCAGAGGCCTCCTGGGCACAGGCTGCCCTGAGAGGTGATGAGACCCAGGCTTCCCCAAGTGGTTCAGAGGGAGGATGTCTGTGGGGAGAATGCCGGCAGGGTCCACGGGACCAGGGCAGTCAGAGGAGGAGGCATTGGGGGTGGGTGATTCTTCCTAAAGCAGTAGACTAAACATTACAACATTTACCATTTAGCCATTTGTTAAATGTCCTTTTAGTGGCAGTAAGTTCATTTGTGTTGTTGTGCAGCCAGGCCCACCATCCATCTATAGCATGTGTCATCTTCCCAAATGGAAACTGTCCCCATCACACACTAACTCCCCCTCTCCCAACCCCTGGCAGCCCCCACTCTACTTTTGTCTCTGGGAATGTGAGTCTTTAGGGACCACATATAAATGGGATCCTACAGTACTTGTCCTGCTGTGACTGGAATACATCGCTGGACACTTGTGTTCCTTTCCCTCTTGGCTCCTGTGCGTAATGCTGCAGTGAGTGTGGGTGTGCACATAGCTCTTTGAGACACTGCTTTCAATTCTTCTGGGTGTAGCCGCAGAAATAGAGTTGCTCGGTGACATGGTAATTCTACATTCATAACCTTTTGAAGAACTGTCATACTATTTTCCAGAGGCTGAACCATTTTACATTCCCACCAGCATCCTTGCCAACATTTAGTTTTTATTATTTTATTTTATTTTTTTTATAATAGCCATCAAATGGGTGCAAAGTGGTTTGAAGTTGAGGTTTATTCTGAGGTCTGTATCTACTTCCCTACTGCTCTTCATAAGAATGTGTAGGTGATGCCCACCCGCACCCCCTGCCACCTTCCTTGCTCCCACTGAGGGCCGTGACCATGACATCCTCATTCCTTTGGGCAGTGGAGTGTGGGTGGAGCGCCTGGCTCAGACAGAGCAGTGCTGTGGACAGAGAGGCACTGTTCCACACCCAGAGAGTGTCTGGTCTGTCCAGCCACCTTGCGAGGCAGAACACAGAGCTCACGGATCCCTACTTGATAGACAAAACTGAAGCTCAGGAAGGGAAAGTGACTTGTTCAGGGTAACCCTGCTAGGCAGTGGCACAGAGATGACTCACGTGCGCCATCCTCTGGAACGTCTGCCGCTGACTGGCAGTAGGTGAAGGGCCTGCTTTCGGCACCGGCAGGTAACGGCCCTTGCTCATCGGAGCTGCGCACTCCGGGCAGAGTTGAGGGCTGCAAACTAAGGCAGATGGGTGCAGCCTTTTAAGGAAGGCTTAGCAGGGCAAGCAGTTGAAACAGTGGAAAGTAGAATTTGCAAGGCTGTTAGCTCTGGAAGAAGAGTGAGGTCATAGAATTTCTCCCCATAACCGTAGTCTGCCAGGAAATATTTGACTGACTGTTTCATGTACATGAATCTTAAGACAAATCAAAACTCCAGAGATTGAGATCTCTGAAATAAAAGGGTTTATTGAGCCTTTACAGGTGCTAGCCAGAAAAAAGACTGAGTCTGGGATAGGCATTTTTTACCAGCAGCAAGGCCAGTTCACAAACAGCTTATCTGCCAGACTCAAGAAATGGCATTTATGAGGGGTCTCAAGGAAAGAAAGTTCTTTAAGTTCACACTGGCTACAGATGGGGAAGATGGGCTAACGTGAAGTGGGAATGCCTGGGGACAGGGCTTAGTCCATAGAGAAGGCCTGTGGACTGGTTGGTGATGATGGTTGGGCACTGGTCACACTCAGGGTGGATGTAGTGGCCCTGGGGACCTTCTGGATGCTTGTTGAATGACTTCATACAGTAATGTGGGTGGAGTTCCTGGTTAGCTGCGGCCCATGGCTATTGACTGATGACCTTCCCTTGTCTCTCTCCCCCATACTCTGGTCCTTATGGCTCTTAATGTTAAGATGTCTGAGAATTTTTCCTTATCACTTACTTACGTGGTAGTTGATTAGCTTAATATAGTTTCCGTGTAGTCTTCTGAGTCAACTGCCCCTTCCCTGGACCCATCTTGGGGGTTTAGCCCCTGACCAGACCCTCAGGCAGGCACTTGCTCAGAGGTACAGAGATGCATCTGCACTGCTGTGGCTTTTAGCTCGCCCCCTACAGGCTGCAGAGGGGCTCTCGCTCTGGGATGAGAAGCGAAGGCCCTGTGCAAAGCCTCGGACAGACAAAATAACTCCATTTGGGTTACGATTTGTAAGTGGACACATGCCCCAAAAGACAGGAAGTCCAAGAGCTGTTTGTCTAGTGCAGGCCCCCAGGTTCCCCCAGGAGCAGGGCCTGCTGCAGGGCATGAGGCAGAGCTGAGGAGAGAAGCCAAGGCTGTGCTCTTCTGCAGGGCCCCTTGCCTGCCCGGCTCCATCTGAGTCTGTGCTTTGTCTCCCCCTGCTGGCTCCTGTAGGGACTGCGTGCACACCCTGCACTCCAGGGACACGTGGCTGAAACAAGCGCGAGTGGTGAGGCTTGGAGAAGTGCCCTACAAGGTAAGGAGCTGGGTGGCGGGGAGACTCGGGACCAAGGCTGGTGCAGTAGCTGAGACCACGGGAGCGGCGATGAGGGCTGCTGAGGGCGTGCTCAGGGTAGGGATCCAGGTCTGACTTTCCTGGCTTGAGGCTTAGAGAGGGAGAAAAACACTTAAATTAGGTGGTGTGTGCTAAAAGGCTCAGTAGCTGGGGACCGTTAACTGAGTTACTGTAAGAGGCCAAAACCTGGTTTATGAAGACCACCACGAGTCACCGTTGCCCCTTCTGTTTGGTGACTCACCGCACGTTCTGCATGTGTGATCTCTGTGGAGCCTCAGCAGCCATAGCAGTTTGCATTATGACCCCCATTTTGCAGATGAGAAAACAAGAACTCAAAAGGGGGAAGTGACTTGTCCGCGGCTGCCCAGGTAGTATTATGGCAGCACCCACGTGACTCCCAGGCCCAGCCTCCACTTCGGAGCTTTTTCTTTCACACGGTGCTGCTCTGTCAGGCCGGCTGCCCACAGAAACATGAATTCCATACAATACTGCATGGTTTCTGGAAGGACACATAGCTCAGTCCAACCAGGAGAGGTCAGTGGCGGATCAGAGACAGTTGCTTTTCTCTGTCCAATCCCCAGCAGCCTTTTGGGTTGTATAACCCTGGGAGGCTGGGCAGGGAGTGGGGAGACTTCCATTTGGTAGGTGGGGGTTGTGGGCCTTGGGAGCAGCTCGATGCCAGAAGCGGGCTTGAGTGGGTTATACTGCCTGCGTGGCCCAGGAGGGCCACTGGGGTTTCCTGTAGACCCTTCATCTTCTGTCAGGGTCTGTGCCAAACACTCAGCATCTTCATTCTGAAATCCCATTGTCTCATGGAGACAGTGAGCCACAAGTTTAAATTTATTAGTAATCACATCAAAAACTTAAGAAGAAACAGGTGGAATTTTAATATATTTAGAGATACCCAGGTATATATGAAATGCTGTCATTTCAACTTGTCAATGAGATGTTTTTATATTAGTTGTTTTCCTACTAAGATTTTGAAATCTGGTGTGTATTTCATTTTCAGTACATCTCAGTTCAGACTGACCACATAGACTGACAGCTGTCTATTAGCACAGTTCTGGAGTAATCTGGTCTCATGTCCATCCCTTGTGCTGCCCGCCGCCCCAGCTCTGGCTCCTGACTCAGCATCTCTTGCGTGCATCACACCCACTTTCCCAGCCTCTGGCCCCAGCCCCTCAGTCCCTTCCCCGCCTCGCAGTCGTGGGTCTTTCTGAAATGCAACCATGTGTGACGCTCCTCGCACAGCCCGCCCTCGCCTGCCTGCAGTCCACATCCTTCACGAGGCACAGAGATGTGTGGTGCCCCAGTGCCCCCTTCCTCTCGGCCCTGCTTCCTTGTCGTGCCATACGACTTCCAGTCTCCAGATACTCGAGGCTTACACCTCCAGGACCTAAGTCCCAAACACCCTGCTCCCCAGCCCTGTTCACCTGACCTTCAGTCCCCTCCTTGCCCTTGTAGGTTTAGCATAACAATGGGGCCTGTTCTGAGGAGCCCATCTTAACCTCTCCCTGCCTCTGGGTCCCATTCTACCCAGTACTCCCCACAGAATTATAGTCTCTGTCACCCCACAGGAGCCTCAGCTCCGTAAGAGCAAAGGCTGCCCTTCTCTGCCCCTGGTGACTGGTGTCCTGGTTCAGTCTTAATAGACACTCATTGGCTATTGACTGCTCCGTGCTGGATGAATGGCTTCCTCAGAAAGGGACTGTCAGCCCCACAGGGTGACTGACATGGTGTGCCCTGAGACCATGGCAGGGATGGCCAGTGGAGTGGCAGTCAGCAGACAACAGCTTCCAGGTCACCTCCATCCTAGGTCCTGTATTTTGGTGGGGCCCCGGATGTCACAATTTTTTTAAGGGTTACATTTTTTTAAGGGTTGTAAAAGAGAAAGAATATACAGCAACAGAGGCTATATGTGACCCTTTACAGAAAACATTTGCCAACCCCTGCCCCGGAGGCAGCTCAGCTCGTCTGCCTGGGCACAGGAGCCAATGCTAGCCCAGGCCTGTGCCATGCCACCTCGTAGAGGTTAGACAGCCCCCTTCTTCCTGTCCCCTCGCCTCCACCCTTTCAGTCCTCTGTGAAAATGTTGGTGTCTACAGGGAGCGTGCTGGGGGCCCCCCTCCCAAGCATGACGCACTTACATGGGTTTGCATCCTGGCCCTGTCACTCACCTGGCCATGGGATCTGAAGTCAGTGACTTCATCTCTGAGCCCCCATTTCCTTCTGTGATTAAAGTTTAGAAGATGGAACCATTAAGCACACAGACTCTGGCTCTTAAGAGTTGTGTGACCGTAGGTAAGCCATGTATACCTCCCAGGTTGCTTATCTGTAGAGGGAGAAAATGCTGGAACTTAGCTTTTGGGTTTGTTGAGAAGACCAGTTAATACACAGCGCCAAGAACAGGGCCTGGGACAGCGAGCAGCATGGTGGCAGTTGTGGTGACAGTACTCATAGTTGTGAAAGGGGACATGAAGCACACCCATCTCAGGTCTGTGGTGGGGCTTTAACGAGGTTAATAGGTGTCAAGTCCTATGCACAATGCCCACTATGGAGTAAGAGCGAAGGAAGTGGTCACCTTTGTTGTAAATCGGCTGTTCCTGCTGGTGTAGATGGTGAAAGGCTATTCCAACCGGGCCCGGAAAGCCCGCCTCGCCTTGCCTGAGCTGCAGGACCAGAATGACCTGGGCCTGTTTGGCCATTGGCAGACGGAGGAGTACCAGCCACCTGTGGCTATGGACGGCAAGGTGAGGACAGCGCTCAGTGGGGTCAGGACCAGACCGCTTCATGCTGCAGGGCCAGACCTGATGTGCCACCCTCCCCGCAGGTCCCCCGGAATGAATTTGGGAATGTATACCTCTTCCTGCCCAGCATGATGCCTATTGGCTGTGTCCAGCTGAACCTGCCCAACCTGCACCGTGTGGCTCGAAGGCTGGGCATCGACTGTGTCCCGGCTGTCACTGGCTTTGATTTCCATAAAGGCTACTCCCATCCCATGTGCGTGATGGGCCGGGAAGTCACCGAGAAGGGGTGGAAAGTTGACCTGGGGCTGGTGGGATTGAGGGCCAGTGGGTCTTATCTTCCAAGTGTTACTCTGGATTTGTGAAAATCAGCCGTAACACTTTACCTTTTATACCTTTCACCCTGGTTTCCATTCAGACATAGCAAAAGCAATGAAACCAGCATGCAGTTAATGCTAGTTGAAATGCCATTTCCTGGGGGTGGTCACGGGGGAGTGAGCCGGGTCAGCATCCTTTCTGATTGGTGACCTCTGACCTGCCATCCGTGGGGGCAGAGAAGGGCTCTTTCCCAGTTCTCTTAGGCAGGCCTGGGAGGAATGTCCACAGGCCTGCCTTTCGCGTGGGTGGCATCTGCTAGCAGCTGTGGCTGGGATTGTGGCTGGCTGACCCAGGAAGTCTTCCAGCCTGGGAGCAGCCCAGTGTCCTCAGAGGGGAGGAGAGGCCAGAGCAGGCGGCAGGTTCACAACCACTCCTATTGCGCCCCCACAGCACTGACGGGTACATAGTCTGTGAGGAATACAGAGACGTGCTCCTGGCTGCCTGGGAAAGTGAGCAGGAGCTCATGGAAAAGAAGGAGAAGGAGGTGAGCAGCCTGGCCAAGGTGGGCCTGGTGGGGAGGCAGGCACACCAGTGGGGTGGGTGTCTCACCTGCACCAGGTGTGCTGGGAGGGTACATGTGCTCCAGAGTGCTTTCTGGCTCTGACCCCGTGGGAGGCACCCTAGGGAGCCAGGGCTGGCTAAATGGGGTCCTACCTGCACGTCACAATCCACCCTCGCTGTCCCCCTGCACCCCAGCTCCAGGAGCATTGTGCCTGCTGCTCACACTCACCTCTGTTTAGAGGAACTGCCCATGGCCCATGTCTGCACAACCTGTTCCCTGACAATGTCAAGTCACATAACCATAAATCACACCAATTTTTAAACAGACTTGGTGTGGTTGAGAAACTGTTTTAACCCAAAATATTTATATATATGTATGCTCACAGCTTCTTTCTTGGCACTTTTTTCTGATGTTCCCTTGATCTGTTGCATTTTGCCTGTAGAAAAGGGAGAAGCGGGCTCTGGGGAACTGGAAGCTTCTGGTCAAAGGGCTGCTCATCAGGGAGAGGCTGAAGCTTCGCTATGGGGCCAAGGTCAGTGTGGGGCCTTTGTAAGGATGGCTGACCCAGGTTGGAGAGGGGGACTCAGAAACCACTGGCCCAGGTTCTGTCTAGACAGCAAATCAAAGCTGCTTTATGTTTTGACACCACAGTCCTGTGTCTCCAGAGCCCTGCATCCTTACCTGGCTGGGAACGGTGTCCCTGGTGTCTGCCTCAGCTGGCTCTTCCAGCCCCAAGTCCTGCCCTGGCACGAGTGCGCCTGCTGTGGGCACATCTCTGCAGTCCCCGGGCAGGGAGGAGCCTCCCTTGCTCTGGTGTTCCACTTGGGCTTGTGGGGCTCCCTGGGCCGGCGACCGTCCCTCAAGCTCGCAGCTGCTGTTCTCCCACACCATAGCACCGGTCCCGTGCCAGGCCAGCCTGTGGACATGGGTATGGACCTGACTAGCCCCACTTGGGGACTCCACCTGGGACAGAGGCCCCACACAGTTGTGTGCTGTGGTCAGGATGGGGTCAGACAGCACGGACATGTTCTGAGAGCAGTTGCGACCACACCTGTTGTCTCCCCACATGCTGCCTTAGCCTTTGAAAAGTGTTTTGATCATACTCCCTCAAATCCGTCTGGTGGCCCCTGCAGCTGGCTTTATGTTCTGACTAGCTCCTTGCCACCCCTGTGCTCTCGCCCTCTGCACTCGAACCCTGCCAGCACAGGGGGTGCTGCCTTGGGGCGTCTGGCTATGGGAGTGGGGAGTGTGCATTGGGCAGGTAAGGACAGACATCGTGCACTTCCGTTCAGAAATGAGGGAAGACATGCAGAGCAGCTGTTAGCTACCTCCCACATTGGGCTGTACCCTCCTTGAGGGCTGTCCTGTGCAGACATCCTTGCATTCCCAGCACAGGCGCATAACCAGGTCCCGAGGACCTTTATGGATGAGCCCCCAGCCTGCAGAGAGCAGGGAGACAGGCTGCTCCCCAGCCCCAGTGCCCTGGTGGCTTAGGGCAGGCTCCGCTGGAGCTTTTCTGCCCTTGACAGTGCTTCTTCCTGTCTGATTGCTGACCCCTGGCCCCCATTTCTGCTCCTGTCTCCTCTCCAGAATGAGGCAGTGGCTGCCCAAGCACAAGCTGGAGGTGGACTCTCTTCTGATGAAGAGGGAGGGAGCAGCTCTCAAGTGGAAGCGGCCAGGATACTGGCTGCCTCCTGGCCTCAAAACCGAGAGGCTGAAGAGCAGAAGCCCACGTGCCCTAGGAAGACCAGAAGGGAAAGGAAGGAGGCAGCCTCCCACTTGTTCCCCTTTGAGAGGCTGTGATGTGAGTGGCCAACTGTCCTAGGTACATTCTGCAGAGCAGGCCCCACACCTGCCCAGGGGAGGTGGAGGGTGGGCAGGCAGGCCCAGGGTGATGGCATCACCCCCTGGAAGGCACAGCTGCAGGTGAGGTCCAGGATAGGAAGAGGTGAGCTGAGGCGCTGCCACAGTCCTAAAGCTTTAGAGCTACGGAACACTTCCCCAGCTCTCCTGCCGCCTAGACCTTGATCTTCCTCTTTGGAAACACTAGTTCTTTCATAGAAACCCCTGGAATATTTTGGATCCCTTCTGTCCAGGCCACTCATTTTCCCTCATGAATCAGGCTTACTAATCCTGCTGCCTTGGAGTATGGGAGAGAGCAAATGGGAAGTACAGGCCATCTCAGGGTAAGGTACCACGGGGATCTACTTTTTGAAGTAACATTTCTGGATGACAGAAGTCTAGAGCAAAGAGCTGAGATCAGGAAAGAAAACTGCTAATTGAGAAAATAATGTTACTAAAAGTAGATCAGTGTTAAACTACATTTTATTCATTACTGGATAAATTTATAAAGCTCTATGCACTGTAGATACTCAGGAGAAATCATTTTTATAACTTTGAGAACAAAATAAAGCATTTATCTAAAAATATTCAGTAGTTCCACATTTTCTTGCTAAGAATGCCGGGATGGCAGAGTGATTCATAAGCATAAGCATGTCGAAACTGCATTAGATATCAGGTTTTATCTTCATGCAGCCTGGAAACTCATCACATATACGGAATTTTCTCTGTTTAAGCGAGCAGGTATTAATCTTCGACAGGAACCATTAGAGTATGAGTCACTTTTATCCAAGGAAACAGAACATTTGGGTGTGACTCATAATGCAGCAAGATCCTGGCTGGAAGGTGCCTGTTGAGAAACAGACTGGGGTTGCCATGGAAATGCCCTGCACCAGAGTCGCTCTTCTAGAGGTAAGCAACTTGTTTTCTGGGAACTGAGTCAAGAATACTGCCCTGTCACTGCAGAAAAATAACTTGTTATTCGGGCAGATGTCAGCCCTGAGAGGCATTATGGAAATGAAATTGAAACATCAGGTTTGAGAAACGAGGTTTGGGGAAGGTACCACTTACCTGCTTGAAATCTTGTAACAAAAAGTACTCAAAATGTTAGCTTCTCAGTGGACAATTAGCAGCAGTCTGTTGCTTCAGAACAGGATGCAGAAGAATGAAAAGTTAATGTGCCACATGTCAGGCATGGACTTCATCTGTTTTGGTCTTACCACAACTCTGAGGGAGAAAGGCACTGTGCCCATTTTACAGATGAGGCTGAGGCTCAGAGAGCATTGCATCAGCAGAAGACCTGGGACTGGAACTCATCTGCCCACACAGAGCTCATGATGCCTTTTACACTGTCGTATGTGGCTCCATCCCACTTCTAGTACATTTGGAAGATGGGTGAAATGTGAGTCACTCATTTTTTTTTTTAACAAAGCAGGCTTTGGTAAATAAGGCTTCTAAGTGCTAAGAATAGTGAGTTGCCCTTTTGAGAAAAATTGAAACCTTGTTTAGCCATTCAAAGCTACCTAGACCCAAGTTGTAAAACTTCTGTGGTTCTTATTCTGTGGCTGAGTTTGAGATACAAGTTTCAGAAAGAATGCAAAAAAAAAGAGGTAATAGCAAGGTCCTATAACAGATATTTAAATTTATTTTGAATTTTGAATTTTTATCAAAAACACAATACAAATTTCATGGTGGTTTTCCAAAGACTTCCAATATTTCTAAACATTCTGCTTTGTAAGACCACTATTGAAATTGGCAGTAATTTAAAATGTGTACTAGAAAAAAATTACACAAAGCAAATCCCAAGGATTTTGTATTTAGCCATCATCTAGTTATACTGTTTGCTTATTTACTAAGCAGTCCTGACCCCTGTTAAATCTTTAAAGCCAGATAAATTATCTCTGGGGCTGTTTTTGACACAGAGACCCTCAATTTGTATCACAGACATCCCAGGACAGGAGAGGTTAGTAGATTATTCTAGTTTCAGAAGTTCTGACCTCTTACTCAAATACTTGCTAAAGCAACCACTCCCAGCAAGGCAGAACAATTTCCAAATAGTAAAAAGATAATGAATATGCAAAGGATCTTTTAAGACATCAAGGTTCCAACGTACTTTATCTTTCAAAGGGTGTGAGAGGTGAATGCGGTGGAGTTAAGTGTGGGCAGGTTCGGGTTGGGAGGAGAGCTGTGGATGCTTAGATAAAATGACTTGCTCAGAAGCAGCCGCTGGAGGCCCAGCTGCTAACGTCAAAAGCACTCCCGTGAAGAAAGCACCCAGGGCAGATGAGGGCATGCTGGCAGGCCTCTGCCCCAGGTTGGCGCTGACTGGGGCTCACTGTGAAGGAGCCCACTTAGGATAGTCAAGCTTCCAGCTGCTCCTGGAATGGTGGCTAAAAACTCAAATTCATCCTCAAGTAAATAGATAGTTTCTGATGCCAGAGGGTGAGGGGAATCTCCTCTCGCCTGTAGTGATTCCCATCCTCTCCAGAGTGAAAACAAATCCCTTTGCTATCACTTGTTTGAAAAGCATCTTAAAGCTTCCCAGTGATCAGAACAGCGACAACGGTGTTAAATGGGCATGTGACTTACCTGGTTAAAAAAAAAATCACCTCTGTGCTCTGAACTAACTTCAACTGTAGATTAAAGGGTGTTTTTCTGTAACAGTTAAACATATTAATCATTCAGGAGGTGTTTTTGTTTTAAAATCTTATTTGAAACAACTCCCTCTTAGGGTAGGGGAGCACACAGGAAGAAAAAAAGGAACAAAAAGAAACCTAACAAGCAGGGCCTCTGGATCTTCCATACTAGACATTCTGCCAAACCACAGAACATGAGGAAAGCCCAACAAATGTCCATTTTCACCATGGTGACCTGTTGTACCAAGTTCCAGGTGCAGGCTATCCGCGGTGCCCCGGCCATGCAGGCGTGCGTTCCATCTGTCAGTGCTCTGGGGCTGCTCATGGGGGCCCGACACTAGCGGCCTTTAGGACCATGGGTGTGGTCGGTGAGGAGCAGCAGTAAGTGATAAGAAAGCAGGCCTCTGGAGTATCACTGCTTCACCTGCAGCCATCAACTACGTGAGACACGTGAAGCAGCTACACAGTCCCAAGAGCTGGGAAGGAAACAAGCAGAACGCTTGTCAAGCTGCCACTTTCTCCCCAAAGCTACTCACTGGCAAGAAAAGGGGCAGGAAGACGTGAACTGCTGACACCGACACCAAACCTGACGTGCATGCATGCCGCCAGGTCTGGCCCACTGCAGAGCGGAGTTGGGGCAGGATCCAGACCTGAAGAGGACTCATACTCTTCCAGAAGTGGGAGCAAGCTGGGTCCTAGAGCTTGCTTGGGGGTCTGGCAGGTGCCAGGACCTGCTTCACTCCAGCTTTTTGGCCGGCACCCGTGTCCGAGCAATGAGGATGGGCACCAGGGCTAGGCCGCCGATGAAGAGGGCCCACCATGGCCGGTAGCAAAGCCAGCCTGCAGCCACGGTCAGCAAGGTCAGTGATGTGGCCACGCAGAAGGCAAAGGCTTTTAGGCCAATGTTGACCAGGTCTCGGAAGATGGGGAACCAGTCCACTGTGGGAAGGAAGAGGGCAGTGAGGCTCCCCAAGCCACATGCTCTGCTTCACGAGCTCACATCATTTTTGGCTCTAGACAAAGATGGGCCCTTGTTGCCAGGGGACTAAGGAGGGAGCAGCTCTGTGTGGAAGGCAACCAACCTCTTGGTGAGGGCTGGAACACCAAGGGGGCCCCTACGCCCCGATTTTCTGTGTGCTCAGCTCTGCTGGGGCTGAGGAAAGTCAGCCTGAACTGGTGCCACTACTGACCCATTGTGAAGGCTGGGATCTAGCTAAGTCCCCTGGAATTTTATCCTGTCCTCAGGTTGGCATGCCAGACCTGTATCCACTGGGGGGGGGGACCCCCAGTTTCCAGGATGCCCTGGTGGTCTGGGGCCACCACGTTTGTGAACAAGCCCAGGTGCCACATGGGAAGAGACTGTGGTCATGTTTCTGTCCGTGACCCTCTGACATCCCTACATCCACCTTGCGGGACTACTACCATTCTTAACCTTTTACCCACAAGGTCTGTGAAGCCCAGGAGTTCAACACTTGTTGGTGCCCCAAAGTCAGCCAAGGCCTAGTGTGGGAAGGAAGCACACCAGCTGCTGAGCGCTTCCTGTCTGCTGACCGTCTCAGGGACTCTGCAGATAAGTGGGGGGAGCAAACTGAAGGGAAGAGCTCTGCGGGCACGGAGCCCAGCCTCCTTACCACAGTGATACAACTGGGGCTGAAGCACAGCCAGGGGCCCCCGGGCAAGCCCCTCAGATCTGTGACGCTAGGCCACCCACCGTGCCTCTCACACCGGCCTTCCTCTGCCCATCTCTGCCCCAGGGAGTAGCCTACAAGGCTGGAATTGCTGGCAGATGGCGGTGTGAGCAGCAGAGGCAGCCCGTGGAGCTGCAGGAGTTGGGCAGGGCCCCATGACACACCTACCCAAGGTATAGAGGATCCGCGTCATGAGGTTGAGGCCCATAAACATGGCCATCCAGCCGGCGGCCCGCAGGCCCCACATCTTCAGGGAGTTACTCTTTTGTTCTCTACGGAACACCTCCTGCAGGACAAGGTGGGGAGAGGCTGTTGTGTCTCTGACAGAGTCCTCATCCGCCTACCCAGCTGGCCATTTCTGAACAGACCAGAGAGGGAAGGCCCACCTCCCAGCAAGGCCATTTGGCACAGCAGGAGGAAGCAGACAAGATTGGCTGTGCAGGTCCCCCACGTCTGGAATGGACCCCGCCCTCTAGGTGGCAGTGGTGATGGTCACGTGTGCACGCCAGGCCCCACAGGAATGCTGTTGCATGGCAGTGTCGCCCTGGACATTCACCTTCCTGGCTTTGGGGGCACCTTACTCTCCTTGTTTCCTCCCTCAGTCCTCACTGCTCCCTCTGCCCCTCCGGGGGTCCTCTCCGTGAAATCCACAGCTGGCAGCAGCCCTGAAATCCCACCCACTGCCTTGGCTCCTATAAGCCAGCATGCCTCAAATTTAAAGCTGCAACTCTGGCCATTTCTGGGTCACCCCTGAGGCTCCCACTGCCTGTGTGACATCTTCAACTGCTGTCTTGGCTTCCACTCCAACCCATTCCTTGCTATTGTCTCCATCTCAGCACAGGCTGAAACTCAGGTGCCAAATATGGCTTGCTCCTCTGCTCACCAGTTGCCATCCAGGCCCCTGCCAAGTCCTGCCAACATTGTGTCCACATGGCCACCTGTGAAGGCTCTGTCGCCTGTGCCCCAGACCCATGGGCTGCCTGTCTGGACCTCAGGTCAGGTGACCCCCTGCCCCAGGGCCTTCGTACATGCAGCTGCTGTGCTCAAGCTCATTCACCCATAGTGGTGCTGGGCCAGCTCCACACTTCTTCTAGTCTTGGCTTAAATGCCATTTCTTCAGAGAGCCTCCCATCTTTATAACAATGATAACTAACACTGAGCAGTTACTATGTATCAGTCACTGTCCTAACCAGTTTACAATTATTATCTTGATGAGCTGGCACACTTCTACTTCCATTTTTTAGGCAAGGAAACTGAGGCTCTGAGAATATAAGTAATAGGCTGAGGTTTGCATCTCAAGCAGTTACCTAAGCTAAAGAAAGGTTTGAGGGCAGAGACCAGGTCTGTTCTGTCCCTCACTATGTCACTGGTGCTCAATAAAAATGTGTTCAATGATCTTTACAACCAAATGAGTTAGAGATAACTGTTACTATCAGGATAAACTGGCTCAAGGTCCCTTCCTTAGCCAGTGGAAACAGCAGGGCCGAGGCCATCTCCAGTCCTATGCTACCTGCTCCCACCCCTAGGATGGGATCTTGGCATCCTGGTTCACAGTGTCTGGGTTGCTCCCCAGGGCCCTGGCTGCCCTGGCTCGAGCCTTTGCAGTCTCTAAGATGACATGCTGGAGACCCATGGTAATCC